TCAAGCACCTGGTGAAGACATAAAGGAAGCCCTCGGTCCTGAGCAACGACAGCAGGTTCTCTATGGAGACACCGGGGGTGGGGGGTGGGGATGGGGGAAGCAGCAGCAAGAAGTGCCGGTCACCTGGGGAGAGCCCTTCTGCACCAACACCAGTGGAAGCAGAGGACAGTGATGAGTCCACGCGGCATCCAGCTCACACCCGTGAACACACAAAACCGGGGAGCGAACAGCTCAGTTCGCAGGTAACTCTGAAGCCTCAGTTTAGCTGCAGGCACTGTTTTCGCCAGGGCTAACAACTTCCTGCAAGACCACAGCTGCTCTGCCCTTCTTTCTTGGGGGGAGAGAGACAGAAGGAGGGAAGAGATGCGGGAGGGGAGGAAAGACAGGAAGGGACGTGGACGGGATGTAGGGAGGAGGTGAGGGCTCTGCTGTAATTTGCAAGTGCCCAGTCTCACCCAGGCTCCTCGCTGCCGCTGCTGCATCACTACAGGCCGTTGCAGGCGACCCTGGAGGGCAGGGTGGTGTCGTGGCAGGGGCACTGGGCTGGAAGATAGGCGCTGTGGGCTCTCTCCCAGCCTGCCTCTCGCTAACCCTGGGGTCTCGAGTGAGCCACATTGCCCTCCAGTTTGGAGTTTCTTCCTGCAACGTGCAGGGTAAACTGGACTCCCTGCAGGGTCCTCCCCGCCCCTGGGAGCTGTGCCTGTATGACCAGTGGGCATCGAGCTGTGACTGGCAGAGCCAAGGACCAGGGGCAGGGAGAACCACGATCCCTGTCATGCCACCTGTTTCCTGGGATTCTGAACAGCTTTGCCGCCCACCTGGTGGGACTGTCCAACCCTCGGCCAGGGGGTTCTGGGGATGGGCAAGTCGGTGTGGAGGAGGGAGAGGAGGAGGGGGAGTGGGGAGGGCACTCACAGCAGGAGGAGATGGGCACGCTGATGGCCAGGACCACCCAGGCAATGTCCATCTTGCTCAGGCAGATGGTGGCTCTGTGCTGGGGGGAGTCCCCTTCGGCCACGTGGGAGATGTTCCCAGCGGGGCCAGGCTTCCAGGTCCCCGCAGGGACCAGGCGGTTGAGGAAGTTCCCTGTGGCTGTGGACACCACTGTGGACAGAGGACGGGGCAGCCGGGCCGTCATGCTGGGGGCGGCCACAGCCTCCTCCTCGGCTCGGGGGACAGTGCTTTCTGAGGCCCCGGGGGGGTGAGCGGGG